TATATATATGTATATATATATAGTATATACAACTAGGCCTATTTAGCATAATGTACTCAGTTGGTGACATAGTTTGTATCAGAGTCCATCATGTGTTTTTGTTTCGAAACGTTCAATATATTCAACAAAATAAGATTTTCTTTCTTTGATTTGCCTAACCCCTTGCATAATGATGATTTGCCCCTTAAGCCGACCACCCGTTAAATGTCTCTAGAAAGGCGACATAGAACATACCGTGTGTTTTAGGCTAAAGAAATATAGCAGATTAAAAACCGCACTCAAACAAGTAAGACACTGATACACATTTAAAAGTAAAACACCGATCAAGTATATATCATTACAGGTATCGTCAGGTGCTGCAAATACATAAATTGTTATCTGGGATTCTTTTTCGCAGAAAGTATTGAAAGGTTTATCCAATTACTATCAAATGATTACCCATTACAGTACGCCAGCCAATTACGGTCCGCGCCACAAATTGACAATTCTTTAATTTGTTACATTTTCTGTTCATTGTCGGGCGATCTTAAAGAAGTCCGAATGTCTATCTCAACCGCTCCTTTATCTGTTGCCGTAACGAAATTAGTAATTTGAAAACAGATTGGGTTTCCACAAAACCCTGATGAAAACGAAATAAAGCCTGTGGTTGGAAAAATCAAAGAAGTCGTACTGTGTGTCTTTAACATTATATTAGGAATAGGACGGCTGTTGAATTCGCAAGGGTGATGTAGAATTCCTTTTTATTCTTAGTAGGGGGAATCATTTCATATTCAACACCGAATACGGTCTTTGATGTTGCCGTTGCTGGCGCCTTCATACAGAGTTGATCGTCTGTTGCCTCAGTTCGGTGACAAATAGTGACAGATTGTTTGTCCTTGCAATTAGCCTAGGCATGGTTTAGAAGTAATTGATAGGTCTTTGGGGAGGGAACATATACTGAAAGATTTGTTCTTCCGGGTTTGTTGAGAACATTTAAACTAGACATTCCGAATTCGCAACAGTTAATTTGATAGCAATCCGTTCCAAATTCTTGTTGTGGAAACGAATCCAATCATTTCGGAAACCGTGAGTGGAATTTTGAAGCTCCACGCTTTTGGTAGTATAGAATAATTACATTTGGATTTGTCTCCACCAGTATATACTGTTGATTAGATTAACCATTCAGTCAATGCCGTCTACATTGAATACCTACGAAATTAGATAAGTTGCCCTTAAATTTATTGTAGGTACATACAATTATAATGCCCAATCTTGCTTGGAATCCGTCCCCTGAGTGCTACGTCATCCATCCACCACGTGTGATTGGTCTCCCGGAATAAAAAGAGTGGTTAGTAGGCGTGACGAGTAATTATCTGATTTGGTTCTGACGACTGATGTAAAAACATAGGTCTCACGGTTGTTGAAAGAGTCAAAATCATAATTTTTGCGTACACAACATCACTGTTTACAGTAACTGGCACAACAACTGCTTGAATACTCAAAGGGTTTTTTTTTTTTAAAAACTTCAATATTTCACGCCATCGACTCGAGTCGTGGTCATTCTTTAAAACTTCGTTATGTCTAAAACAACACTCGCTATAAGTTCAAACTCAGCGTTTACTAAGCCGGTACCTTGCTCCGACTTTTCTTTTAGTGTTGATTCTTTGGTAGCGAACACGAAAGAAGACCAAGGAAGGATGCTGGAGAGAACGGAAACAGAAACGTCACTTCCAAAGAACTTGACGAGCCCTAGTTCTTTCAGTATGGAAAATATTCTGGCAAAACCTAGCAGTAGGCCTATGTCGACGGGACACAGACACTCATCTTCGTCAGAAGATGACGGGCCCGTTTCTCCAACTTCAAACAGTACTAGCAGTAGTTATCATTGGGATAACAACAATTCAGGTTTCTCGTGGCTCCAGTCGGCAACCTTTTCACCATCTTCGCATCATGTACAGAGTAAGTAAATCTATTGCTATATATAAAGGCTTAATAATTTGTAAAATGCATAAGTTAAATTACTTGTTTCATTTTCTGCTTGAATGTCAAATGTAGGCTTAACTAGCACCACAGATCCTACTATGCTATGATTGCCTAGTTAGTGAACGATTTGCTAACAAGAACAGGCATGCATGGCACCGCCGCCCCACTCTAAATGAAACTATTAGCCTAATAAAGGTCCTAATTTAGATTACATTAATCGATTTTAAACTTTACGAAATATATGGCAAAGCTGGTACCAGTAGTATTTCATTTCATTTCAGCAACATTTATTTCTTTCATCTTTCTTTG